ATTTTTATTCCTATTTACGTGTTCTTATCTTTTTTCACTATTACTGTATCTGTCTTTTCATGATGGCCTATCTCTACATTTATCTTTGAATTATATTCTATGTCTCTCTATCCTTATCTCTCTTTCTTTCTATCTAATATCTACTAATTCCATTCTATATTCTTATTTACTTGTATAACTACCTCATGGCGTGTATTTGCATTTATAAATTAAGACTTAAAATTATTTCTGTTCAATTTTACAGTCGTAATCTTAAAGTCATAACGGAAATTGTCTGTGGTGATAGCAATCAAAAGCGTTCTGGATATCCCGTCTATCAGACAAAATCCAAAGGCAGATGAAAAACTAGTTTTCTAAAAAGATGACAAAAGTATTCAATAAAGTAAAAATAATCTTAAAATGAACTACATACTCTACCTCAACTTTCTCTGTAGTTCATATTCCTCTTGTAAAATTATCCAAGTATAGCATGGGACCAGTCCAGTTACTTGAAGTTAGTCTTTCCAGTCCTTGCTATACTGAATAAATTACAATTTTAGTATTCACTAATTAGAGGTTAGGTAACTTTCCCTGTACTTATATATCCGTTTCGTCTTCTTTCATATCGGTCCACCTGTCTCTGTTCTGTGTCAATATATAAATTAATTGTTGTCTTCTTGCTGTATCTTTAATATCTTTCATTTAGAAAATATCCAGAATTGGTCTTTGTGTCTAGTTGCACTTTTCATAACCTAAATTAACTTCTTCAAAAATGTGATAATAATAACCATCATGAAACTATAAAATGATATCTTTATATGATAGCTTACAGAAACGCTGGATTTAATTAGTTATTATAGACTTATACCCTGCAATCCTTCTTTGATGGTCTATATACCGAAACGCTAGATTTAATTAGTTATTATAAGCTTATACCCTGAAACGCTAGATTTAATTAGTTATTATAAGGTTATACCCTGCAATCCTTCTTTAATGGTCTATATACCGAAACGCTGGATTTAAATAATCATTACACTAGTTAACACTGTAATTCATCTATAATGGCGTACAGAAATGCTGAGTTTAAATAATCATTATAATATTAAAGACTGTGATTCCTATATAATAACATATCAAAACGCTGGATTTAAATATTAGTTTTACTTTGTGAAACACTGTGATTTTAAAAAAATATTTCAGTCACCCAATATGAAATATTAACTCAAAATTGAGTATCACCTGCTTAGAGTTTTCATATTTTAAGACTCTACTACAGCAGAAAGGAAGTCGGTTGTTCTATTTTTCACCACTGTAATAATATCCTAAAGGTATCCGCATTAAATTTGTAATTTACTAAAAAATTTCCTGATCTATTAAATGCCGTAAATTGTTTTATACAGATATGTTTTTACGGTGAATACGATGACTTAATGTCATTTTGTATTACGTGATACATTACAGATTTGTGCTTAGACAGAATATTTTTCTATAGTTAAGCATTATAGATATAGATTAAAATACAAATATATAAACTTCTAATCACTTTGAACAGCCATTTGATTTTTGTGTTCTACTCCACAAAACCGTGATATCAGTGATGTGCATGTAATCTATCAATTTATAACAAGTTAATGTACCAGGCAAGCAGCGATACTCGTGAACTGATTAATCATAAGATATTTCACATTTCCTTGTTATGCTGAACTGTTTATAATCATCAGATGTATTCTAACCATAACATAAAAAATGACCAGGAATTTCGTAATTTTCATAGAATCTTAAACAAAGAGTTACATATTTAAATACAGGTAGTAACACAGATCCTGTTTTTCACTTGTTAACAATGAGACGATCTTGTAAAATCAGTTGTTTCTAATTTGGCTTTGCTTCACCATTTATACAAAAATGATTGTGTTTCGGATAATTATTATACTAATTTACATTTTGTATAGTTATTCAAATGTTTCTTTTTAAATTAAACAGATTTGAGATAAAAGTGTGTATGTGTGGGTATTAACAATTTACAAAACTTTTCACATCTGTTTATGGAATGATTGATTGTGCACTAAGAAAATCAGACGGCATGTTTTCTAATTTTTGTTGGGACTTTTTATAACTCTTGATCAAAATTAAGTAACAATAGAAGAATAAGGTTTGTTTGTTGAATACAAAGCTACACAATAGGCTATCTGTACACCTACCAACCGTGACGTTTAGCGATATAAGCCCTCAGACAAAAGGACTAAAACTTCTTATGTATAAAAAGATAAAACCCCTGATTTCAAAAGATAGGGTTTTCAAAGTACAAAACAATATTTAACAGACAAAAAAGACTAGGTATTAGAATACAGGACTTTATTTATCAAAGTAACAGGTCCTATGTTTCAAAACACCCAACGCAGAACCGTATTTATCAAGTGTATCTAAAGACTGATTTACAGTTATCCTAACAAAGAACCATATTTATCAGGATAAGAGACATCGCGTATCTAAAGACTGGTTTAGAGTTATCCTAACAAAGAACCATATTTATCAGGGTAAGAGACATCGCGTCTCTAAAGACTGGTTTAAAGTTATCCTAACAAAGAACCATATTTATCAGGGTAAGAGACATCGCGTATCTAAAGACTAATTTACAGTTATCCTAACAAAGAATTGCATTTATCAGGGTAAGAGACATCGCGTATCTAAAGACTGGTTTAGAGTTATCCTAACAAAGCACCATATTTATCAGGGTAAGAGACATCGCATTTGAAAAGACTTGTTTAGAGTCATCTCAACAAAAACCGTGTTTGTCAGAGTAAGAGACATTGCATTTCAACTTACTGATTTATAGGTATCTCAGAGGCCAACCATATTTATCAGAGGACAGAACTTCACGCTTTAAAATATAGGAGTTTGTCTATCTTAAGAAAAAAACATATTTATGAGAAAATGGAAATATACGCTTCAAAAGATAAGATTACAGCTATCTGAATATAAAATCATATTTATCAAAGAACTGTACTTCAATAAAGAAAATCACTTCCTCAGTTGAACACACCAGTGGCTAAATGGAGTGTGTTGTGGCTGATTATATTTCACCCATTTAGTGCACACCCACTTGGAGTGTGTTGTGGCTGATTATATTTCATCC